TTAAGTCTATGAAATATAATGCAGGTCTTCTCATTACTTACATGGCACTAAATTTGATGGATGGCCATGGCCAACCGGCACTGCTTTATATCGTTCCATTCACACTTGGTAACATTGTCATTCGAAGTAAAGAGGGTCCTTAGTGGGTTGCAGAATGAAGTTCAATCTGACAATTACATGGTCACTAACTTGTTTCATATGATGCAGGGACCTTTTTGACATTGGGGAGGAAGAGAGGTGACCTAAAATTCTTTGGACAAGAGGAGAACCAGAAAGGGCCTGCCCACATATCAAACTCGAAAGCCCTTTAGAATCAAACCCAGATAAGTAAGTCGTTCCTCTTGTAAATCAATCGAAGCAGAAGCGCTATACGTAATGGATCATCATCACTCTTATGGTAAAAAGTCCAGCTTATCAAACATTGGCTAAACTAGCAATTGCCAGAAAGTTTAATGTGCTCTCTAATTAACCCAGGATTACACTGGCAGTGTGCATGACAGTGTATGATTGATGCAAGATTTGGCCCCATGATAAAATGCATTATGTTTTCTGTTTTCTGTTGCTTCACTTTTGGTTATCATCATCAAACTCATTCTATTTTTGGCAGTTTTGTTCCTCTCCCCCGGACCGGTAGGCTCGGGGGCTGATAAGTCCCACCCTGGCAAGTAATACCACCCACTAGAGTTTTCTAATTTCGATCAACCTTGGGAAAATTCCCTGTAATTAATCAGCAAAACCCTCATCCCTATCCCAATCCCCATCCACGTCCCCTCTACAGTTTTGCTGACCTAACATTTTCAGTGACAGTAATGATGCATTGCTATTATGGACATAATTTCCGTATCTTTCTTATTGATTCGGATATACTTTTGAGCCCAAGTAGCATATGCTTCAGCATTCAATATTTCAAGACGAAATTTGTGTAGATAATCTCAACAAGGAAACTCGAAATGGCCCCGTTTTCGCGGGTCAAAATTTTGTGTCGGTGTATTATTTCGGTCACCTAAGAAATGAAACTGTTTCGATGTATTTTATAAAAAATTTAACCTATTTTGAAAACAAAGTGAAAAAAAATAAAATAATTAATAATTATTTCTTAAAATATTGGTTAAAATAAATTAAAATATCTTAAAATATTTTAAAATAATTATGTGCATTGTAAATTAAAATATTACAGAATAATCCATTAGGGTTTCGTAATGATTCTTGATGAAAATGTACTAGATTAGTTGAGTTTACTCTGAGGCTCGTTGCACTCCTAGACGTATTGAATTTAAGTCTCACGTGTGTTACTTGGATTTGATTGATATTTGTGATTAGCGGTTGATCGCAAATAGTTAAAGATTATTCTTGAAGGATGAATTTAAATTGTTATGTCTTTAATGGATTACTTGTCATCAAAACCAAACAAAAAAAAAAAATGGTAGTGTTGTATTGAATTTGTACGAGTTATTTAAAAAAAAATGACTAGAATTGAGAATTTGAAATTTATTTTTTATCTTGTTAATAAAATTCTACTGGTATGTTTAGTACAGATAGCAAATAAAAGAGAAGAAAAAATATGAAGAATATATTTTTCATCCTTTGGAGAAAATTGTGTTTTTCCTCTTTGATGCTTGGTTGTAGAGATGAAAAAGTAGGAGAAATAAATTTTTTATTTTATTTGTTTGGCATGAATAAATTTTTTAAAAAAAATTTAATTTATTAAACGTCATGTGTGATATAAAACATAGTTTAAAAAGTTTTCATGCCCACCATTTTATGATTTTGCTTGTATTGGACAAATTAAATTCTGTGGGCCTTTGAAAAGATGCAGGCTGCATCATTTTGTAGAGAACATAAAAATAAATTCATCCTTTATAATCATGACCCGAATTCGGGTGGATAAAAGATAATGGAAGTGATTGATTCACTTCTCACCCATTTTTCTTTCTATCCTTTTTTTTTTTTTCCATACCAATCAGAGAAAAACACCACTTTCTATCTCATTTTCTATCCATTAATTTTATTTCATACCAAACACACTATAAAATTGGCGTGTGAGTTGCGTCAGTGACTTAAATTGAAATCAAATCAATATTTGTATAATAAAAACATGATAATTATTTTTTATTTCAGAAAATATGATAACCCTTCAATCATTTGATGTAAGCGGGGCCCACTCGATGCCTTTCAGCATTTGTCATGATAGAGCCATCAATTATATCATTCTTACTATTAATAAGGAGCCGGATAATAATATTCCCCTGCAAAATGCTCCTAATCCCTTATCTTTAGTCCAAAAAATATTAATAGGCGAATTACACTTTATATTTTTTTAAAAATATATTTTATATTTTTAAAGATTAATTTTTTTATAGTACACTATTAAAGGTGTTATAATTTAATATTTATATTAATTTTTTTTGTCAGTATCAATAAATTGACTTTTGATAAAAAAAAATAACGAAAGTTAATATAAATGTTACATTAAAATATTTTTGATAAATTGTAGGTATAAATAAAAAATTTAAAATTTTTTAGAGTACAAAGTACAAAAAGTCCCTAAATATTATAATATATTAAGTATTGCAATGTAACATTTTTGTTAATTTTTTATTTATTTTTTTCTCAATTTCAATGAGTTGGCATTTGATAGAAAAATAACGGAAGATAACAGAAATATTATATTATAATATTTTTAATAAATTGAGGGTATAATATAAAAAATTTAATTTTTAAAAGTATAAATAAGAATTTTAAAATCTTTAAGATACAGAATATAAAAATCCCAAAATATTATAATAGTCTCCCACTTAATTAAACTTGGGTTTACATTTCCCAATCACCCTCAAATAGTCAAAGCATGTCATGCCACGTGGCTTCATGACATATAATCTAGAAAAATTATGTGGTGCATATTAATCTTGTTCATTTTTTTTTATCTATTCCATGATGTTGAAATTGGTCGGTTAGTTCCATGGTTTGTGACGTTTGATTTATGCCACGTGGATAAAACATTGAGGTTTGGGCGGTTTGATGACTCATGATGTGAGGTGTATTAGCATAGATTAGGGGTCTCAATACAAGACAAAATAGCTTTGATAAACATTTTGAAAATGATATAAATGTTCAACATGCATAATAAATTAATCGAATTAATATGTTAAATGTGAATTACTTAATTTTTATTTATTTTTTAATTATTTTTCTCAGTCAAGTATTATGTTATTTGTTTGAAAAATCAAAGACATCATTCACGCCAGAATTAAAGTATTCACAAGGAATAAATCACTCATAACCTGACTTTTACAAATTGCCAAGATTAAAATTTAGCACGTCTAACCCTTAAGTTTACAATTTGATTCAATTGTCCAATAAAAAAAATAGGAAAAATCTCATTTTACTCATTGAAAGATACAAAAATTCTCAATTTATCTCTTAAATGATTAATTTTTTCACATTACCCCCTCAAAAAAATAAAAACATTGTTATGTGGTCTAAAAATATTACAGTCTGCTTTCAAAAATATTTTTGAATCATATTGTAATGTTTTTATTTATTTGAGAGGATAATAGAAAAAATTGAGAATTTTTGTAATTCTTTTAGGATTTAAAATAAGATTTTCTCAAAAAAATATGATTCAATTGATCCTACCTAATCTTAGGAGTTTTGGTTGTATATGTAGTAAGGTTGGCTCGAGGCACAAAGCTAGCAAGTGGGTCTAGAGGCTGCATGTGACACCAAATGGTTTATACCATGGGTGTGAGTTGTTTACCATGATTGGGATACTCTTTTCAGACAATAAGATAGACAACAACATTACAATAAGGAGAGAGATAGGCCCACATGATTGGAACTTACGAAGAATTTGAATTATAGAAGGTGGCATATTTATAAAGCTCCCCCACCTCTGTCCTACTTGATCATTCTATGGTTCATGGAAGTGATTTTGAAGGGCAAGTTATTACCAAATTCACCAAAATAATTCAGGTGTTTTTAGATATGTTAATTGGACCCTTATTTAAGGATGACAATTGATCGAAAAAAAAAAAAATCCAAAATTCATTTACACCCGAATCCTACAACAGTTCAAGCTTAGTAAGGGCATGGTCCCATGGGACCACTGTTTGAAGTCAGTACAATGTGATGAGGATGATATTGTAATTTCAACTGTATTATATAGCCGTTTGGCCATGTGCATATCCTGTTCATTCAAGGCTGTAACTTTCCACAACGGTCATATAAACGGCTATACTTTTTCTTTGTCAATGAATGTTTGGATTCGCATATTTTTATTTTGTGGATGTCATCTTCCCACCTAACCTATGACCTTCACCGTTGATCTCTTGATATTGATCGGCTGCTACCTTTGGCTTTAAGCATATAGGAATGTGTAGGTGAAATTAATGTAAATCATTCTCTTGCAAGTTAGATTTAAGTATGGACTTTATGTATAGGTTTATACAATTTAATCTCAGAACCTTATATATATATATATCATGAGATGCAATATTAATGATGATGTTTTGATTGTTGTCACATATAGAATGAGCCACTTTCATGGAAAAATATTATTTTGTTGGGTAATTATCAATAGGTAAATTGTCATGGATGTTAGTTTTAAAGTCTAATTATATTATATTTTCAAGTTGTCTCACATCCATTAAGTTTGAAGTTGGCTTCTGTACTTATGTCCATAGAGCAATTTAAAGCGACTTGGAGAGATAATTATATACCTTTTATTTGTAATAATTATAGATGTAATGCAGTAGAGTACAGTGACTTGGAGGGAAGTGATTTCACAAACACATTCATTAATATTCTGTCTCAATAGCTTAGCTGCCCATAATCCTTTTGATGATTAGGTGAATCAAATGGCCCAGACCAGCTAATCAAATGCTTGAGAAAAGAAAAGTGGGCTATGTTGACACTCTGTAGAAGATAAGAACAAGTAATAATCCATTCAGATACCTGTCAACATCCTTCTGCTCTTTCCAGAACCCTCCCTCTCTACACTCAAAAGAAAAAGAAAACAGTTTTGTTTAAGTACAGTGCTTAGATTAATGTTGCCAAATTAATTTAAATTATCAAAGCAGGCCAATAATTAATAAAAAAGGCTAAAGATAAAGCAGACCCGTTTATTTTCTTCCAAGCAAAATAATGACTTCTCACCTATAAAACACTCCAAACCCTGTCCTTTCTCACATCACAAGCTTTCTTCTGGAGAGTTCAAAGTAAGAGAGAGAAGGAATAGAGAGAGTTTGAGGAGAGAGAGCCTAGTGAGTAAGAATGGAGGGTAAGGAAGAGGATGTTAAACTTGGAGCCAACAAGTTCCCAGAGAGACAACCCATAGGCACATCTGCTCAGACAGACAAAGACTACAAGGAGCCACCACCAGCACCCTTGTTTGAGCCCGGAGAGTTGTCATCATGGTCCTTTTACAGGGCTGGTATTGCAGAGTTCATGGCTACCTTCTTGTTCTTGTACATCACAATCTTGACTGTGATGGGTGTGGGTAGAGCACCTACTAAGTGTGCCTCTGTTGGTATACAAGGAATTGCTTGGGCCTTTGGTGGTATGATCTTTGCTCTTGTCTATTGCACTGCTGGTATCTCAGGTTAGCAAGCTATTCCTCTCCTTTCCTGGGCTTTTGTTAGCTTTCTTCTGCACTATTTCCACTAAAAACTCCGTTAGCATCCCCCCCTTTTTTTGAGTGTTTTCTTTCTTTACTCCAACCTGGGCCACTTTTTTCTTTTCCTTCTCCTTTGATTTGAGCAAATTTTTTGTGGGTTTTCATCAGTTTGCTCTCTCTCTCTCTCTCTCTCTCTCTCTCTCTGTATGTGTGTGTGTGTTTACTACAGTTTATGGGTTATCATTCTGATTTTTTTTTCTCTAGATCTCTGTGTTTATTGGTTGAGCTACATGCTAGACTTTTAAGAGATGTGATATGGGGCACAAACCCTAACTGGGGGTGCTTTTCCCTGATATCTTGATCTGAATTTGGAGGTCGATGGTTTTCAGAGTTTTGATTTGTTTCTATATCTCGAAATAATTACTGGTTTTGGCTCTAATTTGTAAATTTACTGTTAGTTCTGTGTTGTTTTTTGTTGGTATTTTGATCTTTTTCTGTTCAAGTCTATTTTTTTCTAGAAACTTGTGTTGAATTAAGTTTGTTGGTTATTGAAACAGGAGGACACATTAACCCAGCTGTAACCTTCGGCTTGTTTCTGGCAAGGAAGCTTTCCCTAACCAGGGCTGTGTTCTACATGGTGATGCAATGCCTTGGTGCCATCTGTGGTGCTGGTGTTGTTAAGGGTTTCCAGAAAAAAGAATATGAGGCTTTGAATGGTGGGGCTAATTTTGTGAACCATGGCTACACCAAGGGTGATGGTCTTGGTGCTGAGATTGTTGGCACCTTTGTTCTTGTCTACACTGTCTTCTCTGCCACTGATGCCAAGAGAAGCGCCAGAGACTCCCATGTTCCTGTATGTATACTTACCATTACTACTTTATTAGATCTTTATCTTTGACAAACTAACCAGGGTGTTCAAGATGTTTTGACTTCTTTTGTCTTAGATGGATTCTACTTCATTAGATCTTTATCTTTGATAAATTTAACTAATCAGGGATTGTAAGATGTTTTGACTTTTGTGTCTTTAGAATCATTGATCAAAAGACCTTAGATTTTTTTTTTTTTCCTGAAATTTTCTTCCATAATACTGTCTTTCTCAACTTATTTTCCAAGCTATGATTGTTTGCAAAACAGTTTTTTTTTTTTTTTATTCGAAGCGATTTCTTGAAAACAACTATCATAGTTTAGGAAATAAGATAAAAATCACCATACTTGGGATTAAAGTTGCAGAAACACTATTGTGTTGTGTTTTGGCCAGATGATTTTCTTTTCCATGTTATTACTTGTAAGTTCTTGATAATGTTACTACAGCAACTGTTACTCCCATGAAGGGTTTATTCTTTGATCAGTTAGAAAGTCCTAGTGCCATGAGAATTTGTTTTTCATTGAATGTTTATTATATGAAGTAGGTTATGCTTTGAATTGCTGCACAAATTTATAATACAGTTCACTTTCATTACTGCCACTCTCATCAAATTTTTGCACTTATTTTCTCTAACCAAATGATGTGGCACATTCACCATCGTTATATAGTCGTGAGATTCATTTATCGGATGGTGATGATTGTGTCACATCATTTGGTGAGAAAAATTTAGCGTAAAAAATTTGGTGAGGAACATTACAAGTTATCCTTTTCTTTTATTCAGATAGTTTTTGAAAGGATGTGACATTTTCACCACTAATAGATATCCATGGGTTTATCTATTGGATGATGATAATTGTGTCACGTCATTTGACAAAAAAAAATTGAAATAGAAACTTGGTGTGAGTAGCATTGCATGTTATTTTTGTTTTAGGTCGATTGTGGAATACGATTATCGATGGTAACTAGAGGGTAGGTTCCAGTTTACAAGATAACTGCACCACTCTAGAGCTGCAAACTTGTAAAGTTTGATGTGGAGGGTAAGTGATCTGATGGTGTGTCCTTATGGATAAGACTTTGGTACTTTGAAAACTTTTTGATGCCATACTGAAAAATAATTTGAAATTGTAGATATTAGTTTGATTCATTTGTAGTCATTTATTGTCAAAATGTAATAATAAAATAGGAAAACTTGAAATGTGTCTTGTTCTTATTGAATGGAAAAAAGAGGTATGGTACCGAAAAGTAATTTTTTGGTAACATCATTGCACCCTAATTTAGAGTCTAATATATGGTACCAAAAAGTTGCTTTTCGGTCCCATATCTCCTTTTTTCATTCAATAAAATATGATGCATGTATAAATGCGACAAATGTACCAACCGAAGATCTATAATAATAAATTATTTTTTGGTATGGTACCGAAAAGTTTTTATGGGTACTATAGTCTTATCCATGTCTTGGTTATTAGTTGCTGGTGGGACTAGGATTGAGTGGGTTTTTCTTGTTGGTCCAGCATTGGATCATATGTGACTATGGTGGACAATGTGTTCCAAGTTCATGGAAGTTTGTAGTGACAAATGCACAAATACCAGAATGATATAGCCTAACATAGTTTCTGATTGGGGTAATGTTATTGTGAAAGTTTATCTTCTTGGAGGAATCTGGAAAAGATTTTGCGGCTTGAAATTTGTCCCCTTCACATTGAAAGATGCTTTGGCAATAACATTTCCCATTTTAACACCTTTCTTGTTCAATTGGTATACATGCAGGATGATTATACGTCCTTTGTATTGAAGGAATTGCAAGTCATTGCTATCCCCTTCACTGGGAGGACATACATATCGTTACTATTAAAATATTTTACTCTCCCAAAACTTAACACCATTAATACTAGTGTGTGGTTCAAAAAATGGGTCGTACTGATTCATCGTTAGGACTTAGGATCAGGGTATGTGTTTCGAACATATGCTTTTATATTTGAGATGCATTCACCGACCTATGGACTATGATGATTCATACGTTACCTTTTTTAATTTGTCTACTATCTTCAATCACTACCAGCCAATAGTTCCTAAACAGCCTTTCTTTTTTTAATAATTAGTAGGTTAAGAATATAAAATTGTTGTTTCTCTGATTGATATTGTATGGAAATCCATTCCAACAGATGTGGCAGTGACATTTTTAGAATTAATGAGCCAATGATTATCATTGTTCTCGTTAATATAAAAAATGTTCTTACCACATCTGTTTGTTTAATTTTTCTTACAGAGGCAATTCGGTTACACAAAAATTTTCTGATAATCGTATTAGACGAATGCAATCATGAAAAAGTCCGAAGGTTGTATTAAACATTGGACACTAATGGAAAACTTGTAGTGTGCTTTTAGCATGAAATCTTAATACTAAGTTGCTCTTGAGTCTTTTGATAGTATTCTAATAATTCTCTCTGAATTATGTTTCAGATTTTGGCTCCTCTTCCCATTGGGTTTGCAGTGTTCTTGGTTCATTTGGCCACCATTCCCATTACAGGAACTGGCATCAACCCAGCTAGGAGTCTTGGCGCCGCCATCATTTACAACAAAGACCACGCATGGGATGACCAAGTAAGTATTACTTAACATCTTTTTGTATCCCTAAAAAAAAAGGAGGAATAAGTCGGTTATAACAAAACTCAGAACATATAATGTATTCGGGTGGATAGTAACAATTCCTTTTCCTTGCAGTGGATTTTCTGGGTTGGACCCTTCATTGGAGCTGCTCTTGCTGCTTTGTACCACCAGATTGTCATCAGAGCCATTCCTTTCAAGAGCAGGGCTTAAGATCCTTCCTTTTTGTGTCTCACCATCATGTTTCATCCCAATGGATTTTCCATTCTCCGCACATTTGCATTAGCCTGTGTCTTTTACTTACCTTTTTGTGGAGATTTGGTGGTTTTACAAGTGTTAAAACTGTGTGTGTAAATTATGAAAGTATGCTGTATTTATTAAGCTTGTGCATCCTATTAATGAATGCTTGGAAATCTGCCATGTTTGGTTTAGAGATGTTGTAACCTTCTCAATTGCGAGTTGCTATGACCCAGCTGAATTCGTTTGGTGTTTGAAGATCCCAAACTACTACTTGTGGTTCTTTTCTATGCTCTACCAAACCTTAGGTTTGTGAGTTGTCAGCATTAACCAATCTCATCCGGCACTGGCTGAGGTTGCAGATGGGCTGAGGGAGGTGGTCATAGGTTGTTCAAGCGGCTTACAAGGTTAGTGAAAATGAGCCAAAAGTTTAGTGGAAAGGATATAGATCCGCATGACACACAAGTGGTGTTTAGTACATCTTGATAGGGATCATCTAAGATTTAGCTTTTTCCTACAAGTTTTCTCAAAATTTGATATAATGTAGTTTTATTGTAAAGATTCATTTGATATCAAGTTCTAATATTTAATAGAGTCTATATAGTCAATTAAAAAATTATATAGTGAATTAGGTCAATAAATTATGTTAATAAATTAAATTTTAATAGTAATGGGAGGAAGGGCGGGAGACAAAATCCTTTTATAGTTTTCATATCACAAACTATGTAAATTTTTATGGTAATGTTGCATGGATTTTATTTAGTGATCTTATCCTTCTTTATCATTAATAAATTAAATTAAATTGACAGTGAATCTCATAATTAGGACTTGTTATCATTTACACTAATGCTATTATGGGTCTCATTGTAGCATTAAATGAATTCAACATCATTTTATTGATGATAACTCATTATATCCTTAAATTATGTCATAATAGCATTGCTCTATCATTTATTAATTCAATAACTATGATAAGTAATGTTAGATGGACTTAAAAAGTAGACTTGATTATCTCAATTATTGAATAGGTAGTGAGTCCCAATAAATATTGGGACCTAAAGTGAAATCAATGGTTGAAATTATCAAGTTTAGTTTTCAATGTTCTAACTATGATCCATCGTGTCACCGGTAGGTACAAAAAGTATTTCTCAAATTTTCAAACCATTGTGGGCCAAAATTGAAATCCCGTAGACCTTAAACATTACGGGCCAAACAAACCAACCCATGAACCACCCACCCTATCCACCCGGCGACCGTTGCCATGTCATTTCTTCAAGCCCCATTGAAATTATCTTATCCTTATATGATAATTACGGTATTATTTTAATTGATATTTTTATAACTTTTATGGGTCCTTTTATAATTAAAAAATTTACTATTTTGTGAGTGATTTATCAAAATTTTGTGAGTATTTTTATCACTTTTATTTAGTACAAAAAAATTACCACATTTGTGAGTGATTTATTAATTTTGTGAGTGTTTATACCGTCGGTGCGGTAATTATTTTTTTGGGTATCGTAATAACGAAATAATAATAATAAAAATATTTATAAATATGATAATAAATAAAAATTGGTGTCTTTTAAGTTGAATGATTTGTAATTATTAATTAAAAAACAATAAAATATAAAAATTTTAAATCTGATAAACTCCTCCTCATGTTGATATTCCAAGAAACAAGACTAATGATCTAGAAGGTCGATGCCGAATAACATCACAATGGAGATAAGGTTTTAAAACGTACGTTCCCATCTACCATTGTGAATGGATTCCCCAACTCACGATTAGTTTGAAAGCAGAAAGGTCAAAATCGCCCCCACTAAGTAACCTATAAAAGTCATCATATATTATTATTATTACTATTACTATTTAGCATCTCACTTCTTACTTTTCTTATATTTAATTTCATCCTTATCACCGGTACACTACTTTATTTAGTCCTGTCCCACAACTAAAAAAAAACAAACCTAATTAAATACAGCCTCCAATTTGGACTTAGACTTAAACCACTCCGAGTCATATCAATCAATCGTTTCTTTATTTATTATTATTATTTTAACTCCATTAAAACAATTTGTATGTATATCAATTAATTTTATTTCTAATTCTCTTAAAAAAAATAAGAGATTCACGTTTAGAATACGATATCGGCCGTGACTTTATCTAAAAAATTTGTTCGGAATTTACGGCTAAACTTCCGTTGGCTGGCATTAAGCCATATCAACCGTTCGATTGGTGACTAATGAATATAAATCTGTGATCCTCTTCTGATCGACACATTCAACGGCTGGCAATCCGTTAATCAATAATTTTCTGGTCAATAAGACAACATGTGAACCGGAGCTTCCCATTCAATGAGGAACGAAAAAAAAGTCAACTTTACTACGCGTACCACCCTCTTCAAATAGCTCCGTAGTAGTTTCCAAATTGAAGCAGCGTCTTTGTGATCACCACCTTTGTGTTGTTTTCAATCAGTCTGATCAAATCCTCTCTAAGGAAAAAAAAAAATGGGTTTTTTTGCAAAGAAAGGTCCATCTGGGTTCTCGTCTTGCTCTACAGCTGAGGAAGTTACCCAAGGAATTGATGGAACTGGCCTCACAGCCATTGTTACAGGTCTTGTTCTTTTCTAGTTCTGGATCTTTCTTTATTTTCTCACTTTTGATCTTTTCTAATGATATATTAAGCTTTTGTATCGCCATGCTCTGATGGGTGTGTTCAGCTATCAGCCCGAGATGTGTCTCTTTTTTCAGATTTGTTTTTCATACTGTTCGATTTATATACTAATGAAAAGTAGCAAAATTGCTCACACTACGAAGAAGTACCTTCTTTTTTCTTTTTTTACGTTGGGTAGTTTGGATTAGGTTTGGTTTGTTTAATGGTTTCGATATAACAACATCTTATAATGATTTGTAGACCGTAGTGTCTGAAGATACTGATTTTTACCTAACGAGTACTTTTAAGTGGTAATAAATATCATAAGTTTGAATCAGGATAATCCTTCGAGACCAGAATGTTTTAATTCTGGCATGAATTCCTATCCGTTGAATTAAAAAAAAAGAAGAAGATACTGCTTTTGTGACTCCCCTGTTCTTAAGTACATTTCTTTTTGTTGGGTAGTTTGGATTTGGTCTGGTTTGTTTACTGGTTCCGATTTAACATCTTACAATGACTTGTATCTGAAGATACCGATTTTGTGTACTCCTGCAACTGGGTTGTCGTGATAGGTGCTAGCTAGGTATAAACTTGGGGGTTCCAAATGCGTAGGGCTGCAAATAGACCCAATTTGGTCCGAATTTAAATCTGTTTAATCAGATATAGACTAATATTTTCATTCCCTTTGATCTGTATTAATTTAGACATCTTAAATCGAATATGAATATTAACATATACTAATTCGATCTGATTAATATATATATGTATGTATATTGATGTTTATTACATATAAGACGAGTGATGCTCACATGTTGACAGGTCTAGAGTCATTTATGCTAGTGTTGGTGAAAAATGATTATAGAAATAGGGAAATTCTTATTGTACCCGAAAAAAATTTCTGGAACTACTACCGTCAATTACTAATTTGTATGGTAAAGTTATAACTTTAAAAAGAGAAGTTGTAATTGTTCGAGAGAGGTCATGATCAATCACATACATCTATGATCAATCATAAAAAATGTGGTATCGATTTCAATATTCTATAATTGATACACCTTAAAAAATTATAAATTAACCGTAAAAAATTATAACTTTCGGTATCTATACCGTCGGGCGGTACCGTAGCAGTTCACATAGAAATATATGTGTGCTCATCATACTCTACTCTTTATGTATTTCAGGAGCGTCAAGTGGTATTGGCGTAGAGACCGCACGTGTCCTTGCCTTGCGTGGTGTACATGTGGTTATGGCTGTACGAAATGTGGATGCTGGAACAAAGATTAAAGAAGCAATACTTCAGAAAAACCCCACTTCTAAACTTGAGGTTATGGAGTTAGATCTGAGTTCAATGGAATCTGTCAGAAAATTTGCAACCGAGTATAACTCCTCGCGTCTTCCCCTGAATATCCTCGTGTAAGAAAACTATGTAACATTAACTCTACTGTTTTTCTTGTGGCTTATATATATGTATGGCTGTGTGTGTATGCGTGTGAATGTACAAGTTTATTTTGAATATAGCAATTAACAAGGAGTGGAATACATGGTGTTGGAAGTAACAATGCAGGTATCATGGGTCCTCCTTTCAAGCTTTCCAAAGACAACGTAGAACTGCAATTTGCAACTAACTATCTAGGTATGTTGAACATTGTTGCTCACTTGCTTGATGTTTATGTTTGCTCTGGAAGTTTGTGGGTGCTAGAAATTTTTCAACAGGAAGTGGTTTGTTTTCGGTCCTTCTTCACTGATTATTGCAAGAGACTAGAGTTCTGCTATTACATATGTCCTGAATATTTGATTGTTGATGATGATTTATTGAATGCAGTTTTGCTAGAATGTAAAATCATATGCTAGAAGAAAAAGGACATGTAGAAATTTGACTCTATAACTGATAATCAAGGTTGAATACTAACTTCTTAGTGGAAGTATAGAATTTACAGATCCGAGGAATCAAAAATGTTGGATTTGATGTTATTTATTCACAAATGGTTCCTTTGACTATGCTAAGTGGTCTTGTGTTTTTTTTTTTGACATTATGGCTAGTTATATCGAAAAGAGAGGTCTTCCTTTGTCCTCGCAGGGCTGCAAATGTATTCAATTAGTAGCTTTCAAGCATATGATCTATCTCCGATAGGAAGGATTCTTGTGAAAATGAGACTTTTTCTTCGAGTTGGAGATGGAAAACAATTCTTGTATTGGATGATTTTTAAGACGCTACATTGCATCTCCTAAATTGTTTTTACTTCATTGAGTTCCCTGCTGATATGTTTGTTACTCTCTCTTGAAAATGCAAGAAACATATGGTGTAAAATATAAGAAAATTTATCTCTGTTTGTGCAGGCCATTTTCTGTTGACAAATCTTTTGTTGGAGAACATGAAAAATACTGCACGTGAAAGCCACAAAGAAGGAAGGATTGTTAATGTTGCATCAGACGGTTATAAGATCACTTATCCTGAAGGAATTCGTTTTGATAAAATTAATGATAAAAAAAGGCAAGCCAATGAACAGTTTTAATTTTTGTGCCTACCTAATGTTTAATTTTAATACATGAAATCCATTTAGCAGACATTAATCCTTACTATCTGGTTTTATTTTTCAGTTACAAGGATTTTCCTGCTTATGGACAATCAAAGCTTGCTAACATATTGCATGCCAATGAGCTAGCAAGGTGCTTCAAGGTAATTTGTTCTACTTCTTTCCGGACAACAGTGGGTTGCAAAGTGGATAGAAATTGTAGTAAATTCAGAGAATGCCATCAAGTATACCAGTTTGTTTTAGTGTCACTTTCATGGTTTTGTGTGTTTTGAGGCTGCAAAAGAGAATTTGGTTAGTGAATTTCTAGAGTGGTCTAATGGAGCGTTGATTACATTCTGCTGCAGTGTTGGATCCATTGAAAGAAACAAATGGCTGGATTCTAAATTCAACAATGAAAAACACCATCAAAAAGCACTGCCTAATTGGACTCACGAGTCATGAGACTTATAACATGCCAGTCCTATGTGATGACCTTGGGTCACAGTTCAGAGAGTATGCATTTGTTGTCATTTGAAACAGAACTGAAAAATCTCTCTCGAGCTTACTTAAGTCCCGACTTAAGAGAAGTCTAGTAGTCTTGGCTTACTTCCTGCAGAATTCTAATTGGTCATGTTGATGTTAACCGTAGGCTTCCAAATTATGTGAATGTTGGTAACTACGGGAAGTTGAGATTATTACTGAATTTTGTTGAACACATCATACATAGAGTTAAGGCTGTTACTTTACCATTCGAGTTGTGAGACATTGTCAATTGTCCCTTTTATTTGACATTCAATTGTTGTCCAATTATCATCCTTATTGGAATGTTGTATAATATCTGTTTTTTCTACTGTTAACCAGGAAGAAGGGGTGGATATTACTGCTAATTCACTTCATCCTGGAGCTATTTCCACTAATATTATGCGTCACCACAGCATTATGCATGGTAAACATCAGGCCTTTTCATCTTCTGATTGTTTATGTTCTACAAATTACATTAAGTATAGTTTGATTACATATTTCTGCTAGAAAGAACATATGCTAATTGTAAAACATTTAGATGCACTTTAAAAGAGGGAGTAGATATACGAGAGAGTTTACCCGTAGAATTGATACTATTCACTGTGTAGATATTTGTTATATATTCATCTGAAACTAAGTTGATAATAGAAGTTGGTCTCTAATTACTGGCTACATATTATTTAGCATACTAACATTATCAGTGTGTTGGAAAGTTACGTCCATGAAATATGAATTTTAGGTTTACAAGTTACAGCCGTGCTAGAATATGATTTTATTTCTTGAATATCCCAATAAATTTCAAACATAATCAGTCCGTAAGTTTCTCTCTCATTTAATGAGTCTAGAATTATCTGGATTGATGTCAATGCTTTTTTTTTTCCCCATGATGCAGGCTTGTCTAATTTGATTGGTAAATTTGTGCTAAAAAGTATTGCACAGGTTTGTCATCTTCCATTTTTAAGTGCAATAATCTTTTATTTTTTACACAAGGATCCCGATGGTGGTGGTCCTTTTAGACAAACATAGCTCCCTATGTTTCCATGACAGAGTTTTCTTATAGATGTTGTTTCTTATGGTTTTAGGGAGCGGCAACTACATGCTATGTGGCACTGCATCCACAAGTTAAGGGTATAAGTGGTGAGTATTTTTCAGACAGTAATGTAGCTAAAACGGTCACCTCTCATGCTAAAGATGCAGAATTGGCAAAGAAACTATGGGATTTCAGCGCGAGCTTGACACAGCCCAAGTAGCTTGGATGACAGCGTTACTGAGTTGATCGATGAAATGCCTTTTCCAATCGTCATGTCTTTTATAGTTGTGAAGCTGTTGTGTAATATTCTTTGAAAAATCTGGAAGTTTGTTAGTAGTTTGTTTGTTCATTGTGAGCTTGAAAATATGTAAAACAGTTAGAGTGGATCCTCCTTTGTTTTTTGTATGTGTGTGTGTCTTTTTTCTTTCTGGGTTTGTTAAGCATAATAAAGAGTGGAAATTTGATTACAAAGATGGGGCTGTTGTTTTGTAATTATATGGAAAAGTTAGAATTGAGGCTTGTTATCTTATCCCAATGGTCACTCCACAGCCATTCATGTTGTATGCTGTATTGAAGCTACTAAGTCATCAACATCAAGGTACAAGATAATTTGCACAATGAACTTTTGTTCTTTCATTTAAGTTTTTTCCTATTAAATTTTATTGGCAAGGTTTTAATAAAACAATATTCATTTATCCAACACTATTTTAAATTAATGATCATCCAAAGAAGAGTGTTAAAACACATGTACATGGTGGATAAGACTGATAATTGAATTAAATTTTTGTGAACTTAAGCCAAAATTATCGATTTTCGTAAGTTCGAATCAAAATAGAATTGTTCAATGTTGGTGATAAGGACGAAATTAAATAGGGCAATGGGACATGGACCTTGTCACCAATATAGTACTTTGTCTTTTCCTCCACCAAAAAAAAATAAAAAAATTAAGAGAGAATTACACTTAGGTCCCTTGAGATTTGTCATTTAATCATTCAGACCTCTTGATATTTAAAATATTATACACAAACCATCTAAAGTTTGTATGTACGTAAGACTAAGATTCTTGTTGTCAATATTGGTTAATATATTTTTAGTAAATTACACTCAAACACCTTGAAATTTGTAAGCATATAACACTTAGACTCTTAAATTTTAAAATGTTATACTTAGACAAAAAATACTCAATAAAATATCAAATATTACAACCAAAATTTATATTTTATTATATCATTTATTGAAATAAAAAAAAAATAAGAATCTATTTTTTCTTAAAAATTCGTAATTTAGTATACAATTATACTATTTATTAGAATAAAACTAAAAAAATTAAACAAGGGGTCTAAGTCATTCATAATATAACAAAAATTTTATAACAAAAATTTATGTTTTATTATGTCATTTATTGAAATAAAATAAAAAATAAAAATCTCATTTTTTCTTAAAAAGTCATAATTAATATACAATTATACTATCTATTAGAATAAAACTAAAAAAAAAATCAAATAAGGGGTCAAACTGTAACAGAAACAATATCTTTTAACTTTAAGTGAGATAATTTGGTTGTTTAATTTGATCATTTAGACAACTAAATTAAATTATAATAGATAGTATAATTGTATATTAATTATAATTTTTTTAAAAAAATTAGATTTTTATTTTTAATTTTATTTCAATAAACATCATAATAGAATATAAATTTTTGTTGTAAAATTTAAAATATTTGATATCCTATCTTTGATTAAAGTATTTTTTGGTCTAAAATACCAAAAATTTTATACAGATCACTCCAAGCCATATCATCCGTCGGATTATAGCCTTAATAAAATAAATCTATCATCATCCTTTGATTGACAAATCCAACGGCTGTATTACAATTTAGTCAAAAATACCGTCGACAATCACGAAGGTTCGTTTGGTTAGGAAAAGAGAAGTGAAAAAAAGGGAAGTGAAAAAAATATATTTTCATATAAATGCATTTGGTTAGCTCAAAAAATTTTTAAGAAAATTTTAAAATAATTTCATTTCATTGTTTGAAAGAAAGGAAAGTTAGAAGAATTTTTTTTAATTGTTTAAATTATTCTTAATTAATTTAACTCGGTTTAAAGAAGAAAATATATTTTTTATTATTCAAATTTTTAAAAATTGACTCCTAACCTAATTCATAGACAAGAATCGATTCAAATCCTTATCTCTAGACCACATTATATGGTTAGTATAATTTGTATAAAAATTTTTAAAATTAATAACTAATTGAATATTTTAAGAAAAAGTAAGAGTAAAAAGAGAATTTAAATTATTAAACACAATTTTTTTACTTTTTTTTTGTAAGAAAAAAAATTAGTTAGATTTTAAAAAATCTAAATATGAAAAAAAATTATTTTTTCATTTATTGTTTATTCTATGTTATACAAACACATATAAAATTGTAAATTTTTTTTTAATATATCTTTTAACATCATATAATTAAACAAACGGACCACAAGAAGCAAAAAAAGTCAACAACTTCTCCTGGTACGAGCCACTTCAAATAGCTCCATAATTTGTTTCCAAGTTGAAGCAGTGTCTTTGTGATAACCTTTGTGTTGTTTCAATCAGTCTGATCAATCCCTAAGAAAAGATGTGGTTTTTTGCAAAGAATGGGCCATCTGGGTTCTCTTCTTCTTCTACAGCTGAGGAAGTTACCGAAGGGATTGATGGAACTGGCCTCACCGCCATTGTAACAGGTCTTCTTTTCTTCTGGGTCTGCCTTTGTTTTTTTTTTTTTTATTTTTCATGGATGTGTTCAATTATCAACCTAAGAAGTCTCTTTCTTAGATTTGTTGATGGTAGTGTTGACTTATGTACTCTGATGCAAGATCATGGCGACGATTGAAAGATAACAAAATTGCTCACCTTAAAATCTGTATGAAGTACTTTTTTTTTTTGTTGGGTAGTTTTGATTAGGTCTGATTTGTTTAATGGTTTCGATTTAACATCTTACAACGAGGTGTAGTGTCCGAAGATACTGATTTTGTGTACTTTTGCAACTTTGTTCTTGATGAATGCTTGAAGTTCCATATTTTCCGTCTGAGTTTTTCTACTTCTTTATGCAATTGCAGTTTGGCTAACGTTGTTGCACATAATATAGGTGGGTATGTGATAAAAATTGGTGGGCCAATTTGGGTCAAGTATGATCTTTTTCATTGGTTTTATTCTGATTTGGTCGTGGGAGTCTGAGTAAACCATTTACCATTTTACAATCATCCAAGAATCGTGCATATTCAGAGCGAGGTTTACAATATTATTTTAATCTCCATCTTAAAGGGTGACCCCATGGGCTCCTCAGCTCTTAAGGCATCATGTGCTGTGGCAAAGCCACATCCACACTAGGACTGGAATTTTTTGTTATTTTCAATATGTTATTAAGTTTGCCGCTTGTAGTATGGATCTTTTCAGTGTAGCCCCTTTCAGCACTATATTATATTTTGTTCTACCCTTGGTTTTTCAATTCCTGCCTTTGCTTCTGATCATGTGGTTTTCATTTTCACGTTAATATTTACTCATTTCCAATAGATTTGGCATTTTGAAAGTATGGTGGGTCAGCCTCTCATTTTATAATGAAAGCTGCTTATATAAATTTTTACTTTTTTCTGATGTCTGGTTCATATTCTTTTGGACCTCATGATATTTCTGAGTTTGTCACAAATGATATATGCCTGTCTTTTCCTATTTTGATGCTCACATGTTGACAGATCTAGAATCATTTATGCTAGTGTCGGTGAAAATTGATTAATGAAATATATCTGTGCTCATACTCTATGTATTTCAGGAGCGTCAAGTGGTATTGGCGCTGAAACTACACGTGTCCTTGCCTTGCGTGGTGTACATGTGGTTATGGCTGTACGAAATATGGATGCTGGAACAAAAGTTAAAGAAGCAATACTTGAAAAAAATCGCACTTCTAAAGTTGAGGTTATGGAGTTAGATCTGAGTTCAATGGCATCTGTCAGAAAATTTGCAACGGAATATAATTCCTCTTGTCTTCCCCTGAATATCCTCATGTAAGAAAAACTATGTAACATCTGAACATTTTACTGTTTTCTTGTGGCTTATATGCATGGTTGTGTGTGTGAGTGTGAATGTACAAAAGTACGGTCGGAAGCCTACACTCTTACATTTCCACCAGTTTATTTTGAATATAACAAGGGCTGAAATATGTGGTGTTGGAAGTAACAATGCAGGTGTCATGGCTCCTCCATTTATGCTTTCCCAAGACAACATTGAACTGCAATTCGCAACCAACCATCTAGGTATGTTGCACTGTTGCTAACTTGCTTGATATTTATGTTTGCCCTGGAAGCTTGTGGGTGCTAGAAATTTGTAAACTGAAAGTGGTCTAGTTCAGTCGTTTTTCAGTGATTATTGCAAGAGACTAGAGTTTTGCTATATACATATGCCCTGATAGTTGATAGGGATTAATTGAATGCAGTTTTGCTAGAATGTAAAATCAATGCTAGAAGAAAAAGGACTTGTAGAAATTTGACTTTGTACCTGATAATCAAGGTTGAGTACTAACCTCTTAATGGAAGTATAGAATTTACAGATCCTAGGAATCAAAAATGTTGGATTTGATGTTATTTATTCATAAATGGTTCCTTTGACTGTGCTAAACTCCCTACATCTTGAAAAGTGGTCTTGTGTGTTTTTTTTTGGACATTATGCCTAGTTATATCGAAAAGAGAGGTCTTCCTTTGTCCTCGCAGAGCTGAAAATGTATTCAATTAGTACCTTTCAATTGTTTGTTCTTCTCGGCCTTTTCTTTTTCTTCTACTTTTGGTCTTGTTATCAATCAAGATGGTTGGGGGGTCCAGAAAGCAAGATGGTTGCTGTATTTCTGTCTTCTACTTCTCTTTATCTTCTTATTTTTGTCCAAGTATGTGATCTTCTCCAATAAGAAGGATTTTTGTGAAAATGAGAGTTTTTTTTCTGGTTGGAGATGGAAAACAATTCTTGTAGTGGATGATTTCAAGATGCTATATTTGTCATGCCCCAGCCGCGGATCACTTAGGGTGAGCAATCGGTTAGCCACCAAGGCCTTAACCAACTAACCTTGTGCATAAAAAATGAAAAATATAGCAGAAGACAAAAAATAAAGTGATCTAATCCACCGATCAATGAATACCAGAGAAATGAGTTAAACATCACCAACATCATTATTAAACCCAAATAAAACCATAATCAAACCATAAGGTTTGCAACTCTAATCGTAAACAACATTTTTACCAAAATAATTAAATATTTGTCTCAAAACTATAAAATACATTTATTCCTAAAGATTTACAATAAAATAAATCTTTAAGCCCTCTAATCCCTTATCTATCTGTGGACTTACTATTTATCCTAATTTTCATCTGAAAAATGTTAAATGTTTATATGAGCATTACGACTCGTGAATAGTAACTACTTCTAATGAAGTGTGAAAATAAATCCCACAGTTTATATATAAAAATAAACTTTAGTATATACATAAGTACAATGAATTGTATCCAGCCCTTTTCACATAATCATTTAGATAGAAATGATTTCATGCTCACAAATGACATTATAAATGAAAAGACATTTATAGCTCAAAATACCCATTCATTTCCATAAATAACTTTATGAATTAAAAGACATTAATAACCCAAAACATCCACACACACACATTTAGTTTCAAATACATTTGTCATCTCATGTTTGTTACCACTTGCCTGGTAATTAGTCCCGGCTCTTGTCACCACTAGTTGGGTAACTGACCCCATCTCTTATTATCCCTAGCCTAATGACTGGTCCCTATGTGCACATTTCTATATTGATCACACTGGTATACTTTCAATCTTATTACCATTTAGATGTGATAACTCAGTCTCCGTCTTATAAAACTTGATTTTAACACACACAAAAACTATTGTTTTAGTCCCAGTGCGCACACATGTAAGCAATGATATAAAATCATCCTACAAGTTTTTAAAATTCACATGTATAACAATTCACAATTACAAACATTTAATTTCAATCCCAAACATTAACATTTATATCATATATAGGAAATATCCACACACATGCACCCATAGGTTTAATATAGAAAATTCTCTCAAAAGAAGTAGTAAACTACTCACTTTAATTCACGAACTTCAGTTCAAAACCCTCTTTCCAAATCTCAATGCAATTATCACATAATTCACAATAACATGTAACAATCGATCCCTATTCTTAATTTTGTAATTTCGTAATTCTATATTTAATTTTTCGTACTTCCTACCCATTGATATATACTTTATATATCATTTACATATAAATAACCCTTCTAATATGACATAATAGGTTATGGAAATAGTCTGAGTAATTTAGAAATTTTTTTAGGTCAAATCATGATTTTTGAAACTTTTAGGGTCAAAGTGTAATTTCTTTGAGGAATAAATTTTCTGTTTTCAGGGTTGCCATAAATTTTCCAGAATTTTATTCTTCTAACTTGCCAAATAAAAATGTGATTAAAATTAAATTTATAAAGATATAAGGGTCCATATAAAACTCTTTGAAATCAAAGGGGATGTCCCTGTAATTTCTGGGTTTAACCTACTTCAACCTTACAGGATTTTCAGATTTTATTCCTCTCCAAACTTAACAAGTCAAATCATTCTTTTTCTTTGTCGACCTATTGTAGTTAAACAACTACAACCTCAAATTCAATCCAATAATTTTGATAATTAAAATAACTATGATGAGATCCATATATATATATATATTATACACTATCCACCTAATACCATGTAATTGAATAAACTATAAAATCCATCAGATAAATAATAAACTCATACCTTTAATGGACCCAACCCATTTGTCTTCTCTCTCTCTCTCTCTCTCTCACACCTTATTATTATTTTTCTTTGTTCACTGGATAGGCATCCCCACAAGCTTTCTCATCAAAAGACCCTATCAAACCTAAAAATATCTATATATATAGAAGAAGAGTTTGACCTATCCAACAATACTACCATATTTAAAGTACATTTTTGTATGGGTTATTACAACATTGCATCTCCTAAACTGTTTTTACTTCATGGAGTTCCCATGTTGATACGCTACTCTCTCTTCAAAATGCAAAAAACATATATTGTAAATATAAGAGAATTTATCTCTGTTTGTGCAGGTCATTTTCTTTTGACAAGTCTTTTGTTGGAGAACATGAAACACAGCACGTGAAAGCCTCAAAGAAGGAAGGATTGTTAATGTTTCATCAATGGGTCATAAGTTCACTTACCCGGAAGGAATTCGTTTCGATAAAATTAATGATAAACCAAGGCAATTGATGAACAGTTTTTAATTTTTATGCCTAATTAATGTTAAATTTTTGTTTTTAAAACATGAAGTCCATTTATCAGACATTAATCCTTACTATCTGGTTTATTTTTCAGTTACAAGAGTTGGAAGTGCTTATGGACAATCAAAGCTTTCTAACATATTGCATGC